TACAACGGACTTCAATAAAAATTATTAAGAATAACTCAAAAGAAGAAGAAGGACCACATAAGAAGCACCACTTTTTAAATAAAAAAAAAGAATTATTGAAATCAGCTCACCCAGAAAAAGTCTTGAGATAACACACATAAAAAACAGTCAAATTGAGTACCTCCTCCTTTTTGAAGTCGGTAGAAAATAATTTATATAAATGAAATTCAGTGTCCATTGTGGTTTGAGGAGAGTGTTGTCGCGACAGAACGTCATGACAACACAACTCCAAAATGCTGCGGCTATGTGCATACGCAGTAGGTATTCAAGGTTTCTTCCACAAATATCGTCCCGAATGATGAAGTCTCAGAACTATTGGTTACGTTTTTAAATTACTATACTGTCCAACAATATGCAGTGTTGTCTATGACGTTTGATTACGAAGACCAAGTTCTTCAAGTTAACTACTAACATATTCCACACTAGGAAATAAGTCTCCTAAGTAGGTACAGTCCACATAAAATATAGAAGGCTATAGATTCATTGTCACACTTGAGGACTAAGATGGAAAGACTCGCTGATTGTAGTTATACTGGGTCAATTACTCTAGAACTTGGAACATAGCAGTAGATGTACTGATCCAGCTTTGTAGTGCAGTTGGTAGGATTTCTTTTCTGCCTAGTAGTTTGCCTGAGTAGGTAACACCTTCTCACCTATTTGTGCCACCAAGCAGCAGTGAGTACACTCAAGGTTGGATCAACCTTAAGTGGAAGTGGAGCGCTTTAAAAATTTAATTGTTGTTTTCAGATTACGATAATATTTCATCCCTAAAGGTGGAAAATGGTAAACAATGTTTATGTTGACAGATTTAAAATATTTAAGTTGTTACCTTGATTCTGTGATATGCCAGATAAAATTTTCTTAAATCGGAGGCTTTAATTCTTCGATAGACTGCCTTAGCACTAACTATTATATAATGTGGATTGTAAATGTAAATGAGAATATATTAATTTTAGTTCTTTGAAGTCAGCTTTTACTTTTTATTAAAACCTTTCATTTTATATTAATATCTCAAGCTTAAAAAAAATAATTTCTTGAAATTTGATCAACAATATTACTAAAATTATTTTATTAGAGATTAATTATCGTATAATATTCTTTATTAAGTGTTAAATCGCTATGTTAAGATATTAGAGCATGTTTTATTTCTTTATGATGGATTAATTTAATTTCTTAGATTGAGTTCCTTCATAAGATAATTGTAATTGACAGTATCAGTGAATCTGTTTGTGATATTATAACCATAATTATCATCATAATAACAACCTATCGAAACTCACTGCCGAACATAACCCTCCCACATAAAAATTGTCTCTTTGGCCAAAGCTCATTGCCCAGTATTGCCCATCTCTTGATTTAGTTAGATAGTGGATTATCTTATGCTGCCACTGCACAGCGATACGATACTATATATTTTATTCTATTTAAAATAATAACCGATATCCAAATATACTCGATATTAAACGAAATGGTATAGTTTGTAATCTCAGTTCATATAACTTTTATCATTTTATATTTCATCGGCCGTACTATTAATATTTAAGCAAAAGATAAAATAACATTTGTATAATTTTTTCTACTTATAGAGGATTATAACAGATTATTTACATATCTGTCAGAACCTTTACATTTTTTTCGTTACCAAACTAATATCACTTTAAATCTTTAGTCTATAATATATATTCTATAAATTATTTATATCTTATTCTGTGTCTTTTAACTTAAGTTATGTAAAAAGTAATATTTTTTTATAGTCAAATTACATATAATATGTTTATTATATTTTATTTTATACTTATTCTAAGAGTTACTTGACACATTTCTGTCATGTAAAGTGATTCCTTGATAATATAATGGATTACTTTAGCCTGTAGGTAAGTCATTTCGTTTATCTATGAAGCAGATGACGGTTAAAGTTACAGCAGAAGTTTAAAACTTATTTGGTAATTTCGCAGTTTCAAGTCAATGATAAAATATGGGTGTCATTTACTGGTAGAATAGATGGAATCGAAAGAAAGAGAGTAAACTAAAGGACCTCAATTCTTGTTGAAGCAATTATACTTTTAATGACGATTATGATTAAAAAGTACCATCGAGAAGAAATAGAAAAATTAATAAAATAACGTTTTAAATTCAAATTTATGAAAGGGATTTTAATGAGATATTTATCATTTTTAAATAAAACTAATTTTACGGATTTTATCGCGTATATTAACTTATTTTTAACTTATTTTTATATTCCCGACGTTTCGGGTGCTTTCCAGCACTCGTGGTCACGGGGGACTGAGTTGTTTGACGTCCTGCTGTCATAGTTAGCCCGGCTACCTTCAGTTTTTTAATATTAATTTTTGGTTCGATTTACGCAGAATGAGCTTACAGTATCTTGAAGTCTAGCAGTGGTATACTTGGGTTTGGATTTGATTTTATTAATTATGGGATCCCAAGCAGATGGCAGCACCCATCCATCTTCTCTATTGAAATTAGGATGTTTTTTAATTTCAATAGCCTCGCGAATCATCCTTGGGAGGAATCGGTGTTCTTTTGCGAGGATTTGTGGTCTATCAAATCTAATGTAATGACGGGGACGATCCTGAACATGTTCACAAACTGCAGACTTCCCGATACGTCGGTGCTTCACGTCAGCTATATGTTCTTTAACGCGGGTTTTAATAGATCTTTTTGTTTGTCCTATATACGAGAGACCACATTCACAATCCAGCTTGTACACTCCTGCATCTTGTAGAGGGATATGACACTTGACGGATGGTAAAAATTGACCAATCTTCTTCAGCGGCTTGAAGTACGTTTTAATGGAAGCTCGCTTCAAGATGTAGCCAACCTTGTCTGTGACTCCTCTGACATAGGGTAGAACAGCAGGCACACGCTCGACTGTGGCTGGCTTCACTCGGTCACTGTGACGTAGGCGCGGGACCCGAAGCTTGTTGTCTTGCAGTACTTGCTCGACGTGCTGAAGCTCGGCGGCCAGATGTTTTCTGTCACAGATCCCTCGTGCTCTCTGAAACAAAGATTTTCCCACGGTAGCTAACTGTGAAGGATGATGGTGAGATTCACCATTTAAATATCGGTTGGTATGGGTATTTTTTCTGTACACAGTATGACCAATAGTGTTATCAGGATTTCGGATGACTAAAACATCTAGAAAAGCTAAAGTATTGTTTGCCTCTAACTCCATTGTGAATTGTATTTTAGGGTTTATGGAATTAAGGTGGTTTAAAAATGCAGTTACTTTGTCAGATGGTAAAATTGTGAAAGTATCGTCTACGTACCGCTTGTAGAATCTTGGATTTACAGGAGCAGTAAGAAGGGCTTTCTCCTCAAAGTCCTCCATGAATATGTCGGCGACTACGGGAGATACAGGTGAGCCCATTGCCACTCCATCTACTTGCATGTAGAACTCTTCTTTCCACAATAAATAGCCAGATGTGAGGCAGTGTTTGAGTAATACTGCATATTCTGTAGGCATGTTGTTATCTTCTAGCTTTCTAGTAACAATGGAGATGCAGTCTTCAATAGGTAGGCATGTGAATAGTGACTGAACATCAAAACTGACCATAGTTTCATTGTCAGCGAGATGTAGGTCTTTAATCTCACTAACAAATTGGTATGAATCCTTTGTGTGTGCTCTGGTATGTCCTCTTAGTGGTGACAGTATTTTCGCCAAGTGTTGAGCCAACTTATAAGTTGGTGAATCGATCTGGCTTACTATAGGACGTAGTGGAGCGTTTGGTTTGTGTATTTTCGGTAACCCATACAACCTCGGTGGTTTGGCACATGATGGTATTGTCGAATTCACGTCAAGATTTAATTTTTCGGAGTATTTCTTTATTAAATCAGTAGTTGTTTTGAGTGTATTAGTTGTAGGGTCTATTTTGACCTTTTTGTATGTACTTACGTCCGATAAAAGTTGTTGTATTTTGAAATTATACTCTGACGTGTCCATTATTACCGTAGCATTTCCTTTATCCGCGCGGAGAATCGTGAGCTCTGGTCTGTTGCGTAAGTTGTACAACGCTTTAAATTCGTCTTTGGGGAGGTTTAATTTCGGCGCTGAACTTCGACGTAACAAGGACGAAATGTCTTGACGTATAGCCTCTAAATCCTCTTTACCGATATTATTCTTAAACAGACAATCCTCAACACTACAGATAATTTCCTCGTACGGGATTTTTTGCGGCGTTATAGCAAAATTTAAGCCTTTCGACAATACTCTTATTGTTGGTTCGTCCAGTGTTTCTTTTGACAAATTATAGACCGTGCGTTGTTTATTGTTTGCGTCTGTGGTCAACGGTTGTTGCGTTTCGTTTCTACGTTGACATGGATGTTTGGCATTTGATTTGATAGTTAATTTTTGGTATTTTTCTATTTGTTTGTCTTTGCATTCATTATATTTCGATATTTCGCGTTTGTTTAAAGTTTCAATGCAATTATTAAAATCAAATGTCGTTAAAACGGTCTTTAACTCACTGGACAAATTGTCTATGGTATTATTTATGATTTGTAAATCGAACCGTTTTTGCTGAATCACCGTTCGTAACAACTTTTTACTTGCCTGATTTAAGATCTTAGCGCTTCCTCGAATGTCCTTTTTAGTAGATATTTTGACGCACGTAGGAATGAGCTGGTGGTCGCGGCACCTTTTCAGAAAATTCAACGATGTTACATATCTTGCGCGCTTGGTCATGAGATCTTCTAATCGGCGAATTTTATTTGCAATTACCAGTCCGTACTGGTTTACATAATGATTTCTTATATTTACGCGAACACTACACATTTTTAAATAAAACTAATTTTACGGATTTTATCGCGTATATTAACTTATTTTTAACTTATTTTTATATTCCCGACGTTTCGGGTGCTTTCCAGCACTCGTGGTCACGGGGGACTGAGTTGTTTGACGTCCTGCTGTCATAGTTAGCCCGGCTACCTTCAGTTTTTTAATATTAATTTTTGGTTCGATTTACGCAGAATGAGCTTACAGTATCTTGAAGTCTAGCAGTGGTATACTTGGGTTTGGATTTGATTTTATTAATTATGGGATCCCAAGCAGATGGCAGCACCCATCCATCTTCTCTATTGAAATTAGGATGTTTTTTAATTTCAATAGCCTCGCGAATCATCCTTGGGAGGAATCGGTGTTCTTTTGCGAGGATTTGTGGTCTATCAAATCTAATGTAATGACGGGGACGATCCTGAACATGTTCACAAACTGCAGACTTCCCGATACGTCGGTGCTTCACGTCAGCTATATGTTCTTTAACGCGGGTTTTAATAGATCTTTTTGTTTGTCCTATATACGAGAGACCACATTCACAATCCAGCTTGTACACTCCTGCATCTTGTAGAGGGATATGACACTTGACGGATGGTAAAAATTGACCAATCTTCTTCAGCGGCTTGAAGTACGTTTTAATGGAAGCTCGCTTCAAGATGTAGCCAACCTTGTCTGTGACTCCTCTGACATAGGGTAGAACAGCAGGCACACGCTCGACTGTGGCTGGCTTCACTCGGTCACTGTGACGTAGGCGCGGGACCCGAAGCTTGTTGTCTTGCAGTACTTGCTCGACGTGCTGAAGCTCGGCGGCCAGATGTTTTCTGTCACAGATCCCTCGTGCTCTCTGAAACAAAGATTTTCCCACGGTAGCTAACTGTGAAGGATGATGGTGAGATTCACCATTTAAATATCGGTTGGTATGGGTATTTTTTCTGTACACAGTATGACCAATAGTGTTATCAGGATTTCGGATGACTAAAACATCTAGAAAAGCTAAAGTATTGTTTGCCTCTAACTCCATTGTGAATTGTATTTTAGGGTTTATGGAATTAAGGTGGTTTAAAAATGCAGTTACTTTGTCAGATGGTAAAATTGTGAAAGTATCGTCTACGTACCGCTTGTAGAATCTTGGATTTACAGGAGCAGTAAGAAGGGCTTTCTCCTCAAAGTCCTCCATGAATATGTCGGCGACTACGGGAGATACAGGTGAGCCCATTGCCACTCCATCTACTTGCATGTAGAACTCTTCTTTCCACAATAAATAGCCAGATGTGAGGCAGTGTTTGAGTAATACTGCATATTCTGTAGGCATGTTGTTATCTTCTAGCTTTCTAGTAACAATGGAGATGCAGTCTTCAATAGGTAGGCATGTGAATAGTGACTGAACATCAAAACTGACCATAGTTTCATTGTCAGCGAGATGTAGGTCTTTAATCTCACTAACAAATTGGTATGAATCCTTTGTGTGTGCTCTGGTATGTCCTCTTAGTGGTGACAGTATTTTCGCCAAGTGTTGAGCCAACTTATAAGTTGGTGAATCGATCTGGCTTACTATAGGACGTAGTGGAGCGTTTGGTTTGTGTATTTTCGGTAACCCATACAACCTCGGTGGTTTGGCACATGATGGTATTGTCGAATTCACGTCAAGATTTAATTTTTCGGAGTATTTCTTTATTAAATCAGTAGTTGTTTTGAGTGTATTAGTTGTAGGGTCTATTTTGACCTTTTTGTATGTACTTACGTCCGATAAAAGTTGTTGTATTTTGAAATTATACTCTGACGTGTCCATTATGACGTGACCACGAGTGCTGGAAAGCACCCGAAACGTCGGGAATATAAAAATAAGTTAAAAATAAGTTAATATACGCGATAAAATCCGTAAAATTAGTTTTATTTAAAAATGTGTAGTGTTCGCGTAAATATAAGAAATCATTATGTAAACCAGTACGGACTGGTAATTGCAAATAAAATTCGCCGATTAGAAGATCTCATGACCAAGCGCGCAAGATATGTAACATCGTTGAATTTTCTGAAAAGGTGCCGCGACCACCAGCTCATTCCTACGTGCGTCAAAATATCTACTAAAAAGGACATTTGAGGAAGCGCTAAGATCTTAAATCAGGCAAGTAAAAAGTTGTTACGAACGGTGATTCAGCAAAAACGGTTCGATTTACAAATCATAAATAATACCATAGACAATTTGTCCAGTGAGTTAAAGACCGTTTTAACGACATTTGATTTTAATAATTGCATTGAAACTTTAAACAAACGCGAAATATCGAAATATAATGAATGCAAAGACAAACAAATAGAAAAATACCAAAAATTAACTATCAAATCAAATGCCAAACATCCATGTCAACGTAGAAACGAAACGCAACAACCGTTGACCACAGACGCAAACAATAAACAACGCACGGTCTATAATTTGTCAAAAGAAACACTGGACGAACCAACAATAAGAGTATTGTCGAAAGGCTTAAATTTTGCTATAACGCCGCAAAAAATCCCGTACGAGGAAATTATCTGTAGTGTTGAGGATTGTCTGTTTAAGAATAATATCGGTAAAGAGGATTTAGAGGCTATACGTCAAGACATTTCGTCCTTGTTACGTCGAAGTTCAGCGCCGAAATTAAACCTCCCCAAAGACGAATTTAAAGCGTTGTACAACTTACGCAACAGACCAGAGCTCACGATTCTCCGCGCGGATAAAGGAAATGCTACGGTAATAATGGACACGTCAGAGTATAATTTCAAAATACAACAACTTTTATCGGACGTAAGTACATACAAAAAGGTCAAAATAGACCCTACAACTAATACACTCAAAACAACTACTGATTTAATAAAGAAATACTCCGAAAAATTAAATCTTGACGTGAATTCGACAATACCATCATGTGCCAAACCACCGAGGTTGTATGGGTTACCGAAAATACACAAACCAAACGCTCCACTACGTCCTATAGTAAGCCAGATCGATTCACCAACTTATAAGTTGGCTCAACACTTGGCGAAAATACTGTCACCACTAAGAGGACATACCAGAGCACACACAAAGGATTCATACCAATTTGTTAGTGAGATTAAAGACCTACATCTCGCTGACAATGAAACTATGGTCAGTTTTGATGTTCAGTCACTATTCACATGCCTACCTATTGAAGACTGCATCTCCATTGTTACTAGAAAGCTAGAAGATAACAACATGCCTACAGAATATGCAGTATTACTCAAACACTGCCTCACATCTGGCTATTTATTGTGGAAAGAAGAGTTCTACATGCAAGTAGATGGAGTGGCAATGGGCTCACCTGTATCTCCCGTAGTCGCCGACATATTCATGGAGGACTTTGAGGAGAAAGCCCTTCTTACTGCTCCTGTAAATCCAAGATTCTACAAGCGGTACGTAGACGATACTTTCACAATTTTACCATCTGACAAAGTAACTGCATTTTTAAACCACCTTAATTCCATAAACCCTAAAATACAATTCACAATGGAGTTAGAGGCAAACAATACTTTAGCTTTTCTAGATGTTTTAGTCATCCGAAATCCTGATAACACTATTGGTCATACTGTGTACAGAAAAAATACCCATACCAACCGATATTTAAATGGTGAATCTCACCATCATCCTTCACAGTTAGCTACCGTGGGAAAATCTTTGTTTCAGAGAGCACGAGGGATCTGTGACAGAAAACATCTGGCCGCCGAGCTTCAGCACGTCGAGCAAGTACTGCAAGACAACAAGCTTCGGGTCCCGCGCCTACGTCACAGTGACCGAGTGAAGCCAGCCACAGTCGAGCGTGTGCCTGCTGTTCTACCCTATGTCAGAGGAGTCACAGACAAGGTTGGCTACATCTTGAAGCGAGCTTCCATTAAAACGTACTTCAAGCCGCTGAAGAAGATTGGTCAATTTTTACCATCCGTCAAGTGTCATATCCCTCTACAAGATGCAGGAGTGTACAAGCTGGATTGTGAATGTGGTCTCTCGTATATAGGACAAACAAAAAGATCTATTAAAACCCGCGTTAAAGAACATATAGCTGACGTGAAGCACCGACGTATCGGGAAGTCTGCAGTTTGTGAACATGTTCAGGATCGTCCCCGTCATTACATTAGATTTGATAGACCACAAATCCTCGCAAAAGAACACCGATTCCTCCCAAGGATGATTCGCGAGGCTATTGAAATTAAAAAACATCCTAATTTCAATAGAGAAGATGGATGGGTGCTGCCATCTGCTTGGGATCCCATAATTAATAAAATCAAATCCAAACCCAAGTATACCACTGCTAGACTTCAAGATACTGTAAGCTCATTCTGCGTAAATCGAACCAAAAATTAATATTAAAAAACTGAAGGTAGCCGGGCTAACTATGACAGCAGGACGTCAAACAACTCAGTCCCCCGTGACCACGAGTGCTGGAAAGCACCCGAAACGTCGGGAATATAAAAATAAGTTAAAAATAAGTTAATATACGCGATAAAATCCGTAAAATTAGTTTTATTTAAAAATGTGTAGTGTTCGCGTAAATATAAGAAGAGATATTTATCAGTTATTAAATATACAAATATTATTTATGTTATCGTTGTGGCAATGGACTTGCTATATGGCTCAAAAAACTGACAACCGATGGGGTAGAAACGGTTCTCCGGTTCTCTACACTCACCATATGAAACACAGCGCATTATCTTCCAGTTTGCGCTGGTATTCTGTGATCCTACCCCGCTCTTACCGACCCATTTTTGCTGATGGCTCTGTTACGCGCTCATGTTACTAGCAATAGATTTAGAAGTCTGCGCGCTTAAGTAATGCACTACTGTCGCTTTTAATCTTGACGCTGTCTAGGCTTTATTTCGCTATTCCCATTTAAGTTTTAAAATTTTAATTATCTACCTAATATTTTTTATAGACTAAGAGTGACAAACGAGCACACAATCCACCTGATGGTAAGTGGTTGCTGTGGCCCATAAAAATCTACATCGAAACACAGCAACGCTATGCTTTTATTTTACGCTGCTATGCTGTGAGAGCGTGGTCCTTCCCCAGTCGAGCCGACCCATTCGTGCTACATTTATACTACTAACATAGTAGCAGCATAGCTCTACGACGTAATAAAATTACTTAAAATTACTAAAACTTCATACAGCTGTTGAAACCAACAGAAATATTAAGTTTCATTTTAACATAAAAACATTTTCATACGAGAAAACTAATTTATAAATATTTTCATAACAAACATATATCTACTACATACTACTGCGAGGATCTTCAAGTTTCGAATATAGGTTGAATACCGTAATTGATCGTTTTTTTTTTTGGTAAATTTTAATTACTTTTAAAAATATATACGAAGTGCTATGATTTCGTAAATTAAAAAGAAAAATATTGGAATTACTTAGTCGACGCAAAACTAAGCACAAGAGAGAACGGTGAGCTGAAAGTAGGGAAATTTGGAATAAGTCAACGGAACCCAAGGGACCAGAAACTGGCCGACTTCATGGAGAAAGAGGGACTCTTTATGATGAACTCTTTCTTCCGGAAGCGGCCCCACAGGAAGTGGACCTGGTCGAGCCCCGACGGTTCGACAAATATGAGATTGACTTCATTATAATGACTAGACGACAGAACTATTCAGTGATGTCAAGTGATGGCGAGGGTGAAAACCGGCAGCGATCATCGAATGGTGAGAGGCACACTGGACCTAAACGTTAAGTTGGAGAGGTCACGTCTAATGAAGTGAACGCTCCGTCCCCTCGTGCTTTAACCCAAAGTCCCGAAACCTTTCAGCTCGAGCTATGAAACCGTTTTCAGTGCCTAGAAGATTGCAATGCAGTGGACGATATGAATGACAAGCTCGTGGAAACTGTCTATGCGGTCGAAGCTAAGTTTTACAAGACCCGCCGCAGAAGAACACAAAAACTCTCCGATCACACTCTTAATCTCATGGCTTTTAGACGGGATGTGAAGCTGCTGTCTTCAGTAGATTTGATAGCATACAGGCAACTGAACAGACAGATCTTCAAATGCATGCGGCGGGACTTACGTAACTTTAATACTGCTCGTATTGAAGAAGCGATCGAGTGGAACCAGGGCTCCAGAGTCTTTGCTAGAGATCTGTCTGCCAGAAAGAGCCAACTGTTGAAGCTGAAGACCGAGTGTGGCAGTGTCGTTTCTGGGACACCTGAGATTTTGAGTGAGATTGAGAGGTTCTATAGGCAGCTGAACACATCATCGTTGGAGTACACATGTAAGTGTGAGTAACGATCCAAGGGCGAGCCTTATTCGACACTATTCCGATGTTGATTGTAAGATGTTGTTAGGTTAGCTAATTACGTAATAACTTGAGACAGAAAACCCTTAAGTAGGGACTGAATAAATTAACCGACTTGGTGTTACATGGATCTCACAACTTTTTACGGCAGAATAACTGAGTTGCAAGTCTTTTTTTTTACAAGTTATGTTTTTGATGGCATCTCATTTCTTTGTGTAGATAGTCCTACTTTTCTCCCTTTCCGGCACCATCTACTTCTAGAATACCAACTACGGACAATTTAGGTTTACTTTAGCTTTACAATTTTTCGGGCAATTTAGTCTACTTAATAAGTACTTTGCGAAATTTTGGTACAACTTCATAAGACATGTCCCATCCTTGCATTTTTATTCCGTTGTCCATGCTACAAGTTACCTTTGAACATAATTAAATCTAGATACCTATCTACATCTATTATTCCATTATATTATACATATACAGGTACACTGATTCATTCACTGCAAATGTA